GCCAATGCGCTGACCAGTATTAGTTTTTAGTATTTTCTTATGCACACGCGGCGACATAACGGTGCCGCTTACACTCTTTGGTCTCTTTATTTTGATTTGTTTTTTTTTTTTTTTTTTTACTTTTAAAGAAATCACTTTGACTGTTTTCCAATTAAGTGATGGATACACGCGCGTTCTGCTTGAGTGCTCACACCCGACTGAATTGCAGTCATATATCGCCAGTTATACCAATCACATTGTGTTAGACGATATAGTGTTGAAAAGCTGAGATTTCAAGCTTCATTTACCCAAAAAAATCTATTTCAGGCAAGTTCAGAAGAAATTACAGCTGTTGAAAATAATGAAGAAATTCACTATTTTTTTTTTAATTTTTGTATAAAAAAGGAAAGAATGCCACACAAGCTACCAATGACATTTGTGAAGTTTACGAAGACCACGCTGTACAGGTTCGAGTAGCACAACAATAGTTCAGAGGCTTCCGTTCTGTTAATTTCGATGTGAAAAATGTACCTCGCTTTGGTCGACCTATCGTTGAAAAAGTCGTTGAAATTATGGAAAAGATTGACCAGAACCGTCACATAAGCAGCCTTGACATCACTAGGGAACCTAACATCCATCATCAAACGGTTTTGAGCCATTTAAAACAAAGCTGGCTACAAAAAGAAGCTCGATGTTTGGGAACCATATGAATTGTCTGTGAAAATTTTGTTGGACCGAATTGACATGACTCGCAGATTGCTGCCAAGGAATAAAATCGAACCGTTTCTGAAGCGAATGGTAACAGGAGACGAAAAGTGTATCAAAGACAATAATGTGCGAAAAACGTCATGGCGTGGTGAAGCTCAAAAAATGGTCGCAAAGTCAGGATTGACGCCTCGAAAGGTTATGCTGAGTATTTGGTGGGATTGGAAAGGAAGCATCCACTATGAGCTGGTCCAGCCTGGTCAAAAGATTGATTCTACATTTTACTGTCAACAACTGATGAGATTGAAACAAGCAATTGAAAATAAAACGGCCAGAACGGATCAATAAGGGAAGAAAGGATTTCCAGCAAGATAACGCTGGACCACAAATCTTTGATGGCTCGACAAAAACTGAGAGAGCTTGACTGGAAGTTTTGATGCATCCACCATAAAGCCCGAATCTTGCACCATCTGTCTATCATTTGTTTCGGTCAATGCAGAACTTACTTAATGGAGTAAAGTTGGCCTCAAGAGAAGCCTGTAAAAACTACTTGTCGCAATTTTTCGCCGAGAAACCATACAACTTTTACACTGTTGGTATAATGTCTCTAGCGGAAAAATTGCAAAAATTAGTCGACATAAATGGATGTACCATTTGGTTAATTAGATTGATGTTTGATTCGAGATACGAAAAAACTACCAATATTACGTCGTTTACTGTCCCTATCGGTCTATTTTTATGACATCCCTATAGAAAAACCGGTTTATTTCTTGGTTAGAATGGCCCATAGATTCTTATTGAGGTTTATGATCGAACTTCCTGCCGGCCTTTCCAATACATAAATGTTTTTGCTTTCCAAAAATTCTCGAGTAGACGCAGCTCTATGAGTTAGTGCGTTATCGTGTCGAAAAGTCCAGATTTCACCGCAAAATTTTCCACCAAACTGCACTAACACGTAATCCAGAAGCTCTATGTATTTTGCTGAGTTCATTTTATGTGACAAAAAACAAACTGGAGTCTTTTTCTGATGTCCAAATGTGGCCCATATCATAAGCCTTTTCCCTCGAAAGTTTCTAGCGAATCGGGTTAATAAGATTAATTAAGTAAGTTCAGCTTTTTCTCGTCTCTAAATATGACAGATTGTCCCGCTTTGTCCCAAAAAAGGTACTTTTCTGCATACCGAAGTCGCGCTAATTTATGTGCTTGCAAAAGTCTAGATTTACCACTTCTCTTTTCATATTGGATGCTGTTATCTGCTTTCAGGATTTGTCGGACGCGTTAAGTAGTGGCTGGAACATACAATTGACACCCAATTTGCGAGGGTCTTGCGTTCTTATTAACCACCAAAAACAACCTGATTTATCGAACTTCCATTTCTTTTATTAGAGTTGATGGGACTGTTCGAGATTTTTTACCCTAGTTTTTGGAATCTTTTAGGAATTTTTAAAATTTTATATTATCGCTTAGATTATGTAATAGAATTCACACACAATTTTTAAATACATATGTATGTATGTATATATATATTTTTTTTTTTTGTGATACTCGTGGCAAGTTTTTGTATGAACATTCTAGTTTCTGAGAATGCCAGTATTTGGAGCAGTTGGATTCATAATTCAAAATAGAGATACTGTACAATGAAAAAATTGTTCATTAAAATGTTCAAAGCAAAAGATATATATGGCTGTAAAATCAACTAATTTTATTTTTTAATACAATAAAAACATACTTTATATAAATGATTAAACAAAAATTTTTAATGATTTTTATCCACAATTTATAAGTAAGACATATATTACAAAAAGTTAAAATTTCTGTTGTCTCTATACCTTTCCAGCACCCAGCATGCGCTTAAAGTGAGCACCACCGAAAAAAAATTAAATAAAATCACAACTGAGCCCACTGTACACACTAAGAGAACGCTTTGAAGGCAAAGCAGCAGCAAAGAAAATGGTCGCACCCACAGTTTGCACAAGTCCAGTGAGATGGACAAAAACGAAAGCCACAAACAACGCAAAACCTACAACAAATACGAAAATGAAACAAATACACCATAAAAGGCCACAACCGCCGAAAAGAGCAAAAATACTAACAACAAGTTGGACACGTCTAAGCCAACCGACAACAGCGCTGCTGCTCGGCACGCTCATACTGCTGAGTTTACAGGCACAAACGCAAGCCTTCTGCCCCTCGAAATGTCAGTGCCTCAGCGGCGAAGCGAACAGTCGGGCATACTGTGTGGACGCAGCGCTCGAAGACGTGCCCATACAGTTGAATCCCGAAACGAAATATATCAATTTGACGCGCAACAAAATACGCAATCTCGAATTTACGCTGCCATTTTATATGAAACTCGAAGTGCTCGATTTGTCGCAGAACATCATCGATACGTTGGGTTCGAAAAATTTCGAATTCCAAAAGGATATGCGCACATTGAATTTGAGTCGCAATTCGGTGAGCGCCTTGCAAAAAGATGCCTTCCGCGGTCTGAGTAATTTGCTGGTGCTCGATTTGAGTTTTAATCGCATTGAAGTGGCGGATGCCAGCGCCATGAGCGATCTCACCTCGCTGATTAAACTCGATCTGACTAATAATAATATTGTGAGTTTAGAGGATAATTGCTTTCACAATATGATCTCGTTGGAGATTTTGAAATTCAAGAATAATCAACTCTTGGATGTGCCATCGAATAATTTGCAGCATTTGCATGCGCTCAAATCGCTGGATTTATCCGATAATCTGGTGGAATATGTGCGCAATGATAGTTTCGAGGGACTGCGTGAGTTGGTGATGCTCACGATGCGTGGCAATGTGATATCCGAGTTGGATTTGAGCGCTTTTGAGGGTCTGACTGCGTTAAAGCATCTCAATTTGGCTGATAATAATTTGACGGTAAGTGAAGGAAAGAGGATGAGGGGTGAGGAAAATTTGAAATGTTTATGGTATTAACATATGTATATTATACATATGTATATTATACGGAACGCATAGCCAGTTTTTGCTAGTAATTAAAAATTAGCTTTCCTATCTTTTAACTTGGATCAAACTGAACACTGCGTACTACACATTATTAAAATCAGTGTTGTAGTTTGGGAGTGTACCCTGAACAAATAGTGACCTATAATTTTTTTAACACCAGATAAATAAAAAAAAGTCTATACCAGAGCGTTTCTTAAGTGCTTTTGTATCAAGGAGCTACCAATAACCTACCTATTTTAAGCTTATTGCTCTAATTATTAATTAAGTTCACAATGATTTTGTATAATGCAGTGAGGTTTTGAGCCTAAAATGTAGAAGAAATTTTCAAAATGTTGACTACTAAAATCTGAAGATTTATATCTAAAAGTTGAAATATTTCTTTCCTGACTCGCCAGCAAAGCAGGTAATAGAACTTTATGACACAGTTCGTCGAAAAAGGACCTTTTTTCATGAATTTTTTTAGAAAAAAGTTTTGCTGTAGGTTTAATTTACTTATTATTATATGAAAATGCAACATTTGACGGAAACTTAAAAAAATTTTTACCGAAAAATAGCGAGGAATAACGGATTTATCGTCGATCTCTGCAGGCATCTCGAAAAGAAGTTTTTGTGCGGTGACCAGCCTACAGCATCACTGAATCGTCTGAAAACAAAAAATCAAAGTGCTTTCTTCAGTTTATTAGTTTACCTTTCAATTGACGTCGAGTTTTTTTTAATTCTTCAATTTTTCAATTTTTGGTACCATTTTCAAGCCAAAATGACGAGTTTAGACGAAAAAATCGACATATTTGTTATTGTAAAATTGTTAGTAATTAAAATTTTTGGAAAAAAATATATATGTAGAATATTTGTACAAAATTTTTAAATGATTGATGCAGTAGATTTTTCTGTAGGCTGGTCAGCGACTTTAAAAGTGACATATATGGGAAAATAGATTCAAAGTTTTGTACACAGAAAAAATGAAGATATCTTGAAAAAACCTGGATTTTTAAATAAAATACGTACATGTCATCATCGATGCCAAGACCCTACAGTACATTACTATCATCCAGGTTATCTAAGGCATCTTTTTGCTTCTGTCTGCGTAAAACTCTGCCTTCTTTGGTCTCGCGAGCAGCTCGCTCATCCGCTTTGCTGATCCGGTAAGAGTCGGACGAGCGCGCCCATTCAAGCGCACTTGGTCCTGAGTTGATGCCCAAATCTTGCATGAAGGTCAGAAAAGCAGTAGAACCTTCGTTGAAAACTGATGCTAAAACATAGGAGATTTGCTTTACCACCGAATGATTTGGGACTAATTTTCAAGATGAGTTGGTTGTAGCTTTCGTTGTTGTTTTGCGTGAAACCAAGACAACGTTCCAACAGCGAGTCTTTGCTTAAAGCTTCACAGATTGACAACTCCGGTGTGGGTTTTGGAATCACCGTCACCAATATAATTACGGTATTTTACTTTTGATAAGTCTATCGAACGTTGGAACATTTTCATGAGCATTTGCCGGCAAAGTGTCATTTATTTTTGTTTTTGGTTTGATTGATATACCTCTCATCTTTCTGTTTTGTCGAGTAATCTGTTTTGTTATTTTCATTTTTCATTTTAATTTCTCCACGCAATTTCGCTTTCCATCTTTCTTTTTTCATCGCTTTCCATCTTTCTTCTTTTGGCATGAGACGCTGCCAGTCGCCTTAAATAATACAATAGCGCAGACGTTAGATGACACTTTAATGCGAGTGACATTTTTGGTTTCTATGAAGATACATGCTTAGAATTCATTGGATTAAATATTAGTGCAAAACTGCAAATCAGTGGTGACAATATTTTAACACACAGTTGAGGAACCAACAGTAATAAAAATTTATATCGCATGCAGTTACCTGCAATTGTATGAAATATTGAATCACCATTATGCATGGAATTTATAAAAAAAGGCTTACAAATATACTGTTCAATTTTCGCACTGGCACTATTGCTTTTCCTACTTCCAATATATATTTCGATATCCCAATCATTGTGGATATGTACACGCCAGGCCATTTAAACACATTTCATTTGCCTCATTTTCGTTACTAATAAATGAGCCTTAGCACCTTTGCTGGCCACCATTGATTTTCACTTAACAACTACCTTGAGTGCCTGCAATGTCAGCAATATCGTGTCGAGTGCACACATAATTTATCGCATAACCTCTAAATGCACATTCAAATGCAACCGCAAGCCACTGCAAAAGCTGACAGCAGCAACAACATGAACAATACTGCAATTATCGCGATGCCGCTACACGTGCTAGCATTATATTATATTAACTATGAGAGTGCTGTGCCATTGCCAAGTTTGTCAGCTCAAATGGGCAGCACTTAATAACAAGTAAAGTGGTTGCGCATACGACGTGGCGTACCTGTGCTGGCGTGTGAAATGCAATGAATTGGCTGACGGTGTGAGATTTTCGAAGGTTGCATAAGATGTGATATGGGTTGCGGATAGTTATTAGCTAAATATATATATACGTTTTATTAATTGCACATTTGTTTTATAAATTGGAAGTGTGGATAGTGCAGTATGTAACTTGGACAAATGAATGAAGGGCAACATTTTTTTTTTTTTTTCGAATAATTCAATAGTTTAAATATTTTTAGAATTTTAGACAACCTAAGCGACAAAATATTAATTTTTAAGCACATAAATATTTTAAATCACCTTACTTAAGACGTTTTATACAGTTA